CCTCCCTCCCTATCCCTCTCTATCTCTCTCTCCCCTCCCTCTCGCACCCCCTGCCGCCCCTTCTGTTCTTACATCAAGAAAGTGAAGCATGAGTGAGTAACAGCTTGCGACTCAAAACTAAAACCTTTTTTTTCCGGTTTTCCCTCATGTTTTTAGTCTGCTCTGAAAACGTTTACTGTGTCATATTGACCACATTCTATACTAGCCGTTACAAACCTCTACATCAGATGTACACTGTAAAAAATAAGGAAGTATTCTGTTCGCCATTGGCTTGCTGAATTCTGTTCGCCACTCCTGTAAACCGCTTTCGGTCGCCAGTGGCGAACAGAAGGATCCTTTTGTTCGCCATGGACAGAATCCAGTATGCCATTGGCTACATTGATTCTGCCTACAATTACAGAAATAGGTATTTGGCTGCAAAAGAAACCTTTCCCTCGCCATAATGCGGGATAAAGTCAGCCATGGCGAGGGGAAATCTACTTGCTTGACTATGGAGTATTCTTCCCCTAGCCATAATGTGGACTTCAGTTACCCATGGCGACAGGAAATCTGCTCGCCACATTGTGGCGTATCCTTTCCCTCGCCATAATGCGGTATCCAGTAAACCATGGCGAAGGGAAATCTGCTTGCGCACTGCGAAGTAACCCCCTTGCCTCGCCATAATGTGGTATTCTGTAAAGTGGCTGAGGTGCGAATGCTTCGCTTCGCCATATACCTGTATCCCGTCACTTGGCTGCCCCGTGGAACCGCCACCCCGAGGCTCCGTGCAGCTTATATAGGAGCGAGGCATGCCCACCCTCCATCGGCGTCGTAGCGTAGAGAGTCACGTCACAGAACCACAACTGAAAGGCTCGGGTTCAACTCCTGTTAAAGATTTTTTTTAATCGCATCAATCGTCTTCTCGCGAAACTTCCTTCTCATAGCCATTTTACCAAATCCTGTATTATGGCGAGGCAAAGTACCTTTTATACTGCCACACAGCAGATTTCTGTAAGATGGCGAGACAAAGCACCTTCCTATCGCCACACAACACACTTCTGTAAGATGGCGAGGCAAAGCACTCCTCAGACAGCCATGGAGTGCACAACAGTTTCCTGTAATGTGGCGAAGCAAAGCCTCCCACCGACGCCACGTGACAGAATCCTGTAATTGTATGCGGCTGGCTTCACTGGCTCGCCAATGGCGGTCGGAATTCTGCTCGCCACTGGCGACCTGAATTCTGCTCGCCATGGCGAGCAGAATTCGGCTACCCACCGCTCCGGATGAGGCGTTTCAGTCGCCACGGTACAGAATACCGCCAGAAATTTTTTTACAGTGTACAGTTAAACCGACAAAAAAGAAAGACGGCCTAAAATCAACAATCCTTGTGTCGTACATTTTTGGTGGCTTTGTTCTGCTTTTTTCCTTTTCTGTAGTTGTGGGTGTGTGGCACAATTGTAACCTCTGTGGTGTTGACAGACACGTCCGTTATTGCCCTGCAGTTGTTCGGCTGTTCATTGGACGACAGGTCGGCAAACACTAATAAATGTCGGTCAGTCACGGCAACGCGCCTGCGTGACAACGCCATAGCCAGTTGGTGCTGTCCTCTTTTATTACTATTCCTGCATAAAATGATACCTTGGATACCTCCGAACGTCATTTTCAACTTGGGAAAATAATTCGCCGAGCGTTCGCGGAAGCCTAACAATCCAGTGAACAAATAGTCTGGCGGACCACGAACTTGAGGACGAAAGTGGGACAGTGAACCACAGTGAACAGAAAATGTCAGGGCTGTTTGGTACCATTCTATGACAGGTTAGTGTTAAACGAGGGGGCAACAACTGCGAAAATCATGTGTACACCTCCCTGGGAGTCCTTAGGATAAATCTTAATCAAAATCTACAGAAATCGCCTAAACTAAACGGAAAACTAACTATTGGAACTGGTACAAATTAGTCGAAATAAGCGCTTTCCACCACTAGAAAACCTAGAGAATAAATATGAGCGGACGGGAATCCCTGGGAATCAAGTATTTCGGGAATCATGTGTACACGTCGAAAAGGAGTTGTTGCCTTTCACCCAGATATGGGTACATTTTTGGTGGAGTTTGTCGCAAACTCTGCTGCCTGTGCAGCCGCCAGCCAGTCTGCTCCAGCAGCACTACCTCCACCTTCTCCAGCACGGCAGCTATGCCATACCCGAGCGTAGCGCGCTGGTGCGGGGCGCGGTGTGCGGGTGGGCCCCTCTCTAGAGAGCGCAGGGCCCCCGCCCCATAGGACCCCGGCCCCCCTCTCCCTCCTCCATCTCTCTCTCTCCCTGTATAAGGTGGGGCGGGGCGAAAGGCGGCCACTCCCACCTTGATCGATCTCTACCATCCTCCCTGCGCGGGATGCCTCCCGACTCCAGGACCAGCAGTTTGCATTCCCTTGGGGCCGGCTGCTGCTGAAGCAGTCAGTCACTGTTCTCATCAGTCATTTAGTTGCTCCAGATTCATCAATGGCATTTTTCACCAAAACAGACATTTCTGGCCCATTTTCTGGCGATGTAGTCATTGATTGCTAGTTTCCGCGGCCGCTTCATGGTGCATGTCAAGGCTAGGGAAAGGGTGATTCAGAGAGAAATAAAATAACGAGGTGTTGAACATCCTTCTCACCTGAGTGCATCGGTGCTGCACGTCTACGTACTCTCTCGCCCCGTTATTCAGACCCATAAACTCGATTTAAATGCGCCGGTTTGACTTGAAATAAACGGCCGATGTGAATCGCACTATACGCACCGCGTGACGTGCTCGCCTGCAGATGAACGATTACGACTCTTTGTTCTCGCTCATCTCGTCTATGAATCATACGATCTTTTACGATGGCGCCGCGTGTCTCGCTTCCTTGATTTCTGGAGGCCGTTTGGCCAAATTCAAAGAAATCTCTTATCGCGACTGATTTTTTTGGTGTGTGTTGTATGTTGCATGCGTGCGCCGTTTAACGGATCGCTATTTCAAGAAGTGCATTAGTTGGAACTCTGTCTGGTTCTTAATCCTGACGCTTCCACAGCACTCCTTTAAATAATTTCAAAACTTATAACTTTGTCATTGCGCATGTCCGACCATCTTTGTTTATTTAAGCTTTCCTTGCTGGAAACGAAGTGTCCCTGAGATGTGTTTGCTTGCGAAACGAATTTATCTGTCGTAACACACTGTTTTTCTCTTCTGTTTCAGGTAGAAATGGACGAGAAAATGGTCGAGTTCACCGTGAATCGATACAAAGGCTCGTCGAAAAGTTCAACTTTCCACCGGTGGCGTTACCCCTAATATACGTAGTGCTTAAAGACCATGGGTCGGACTACGAGGAAGTCAAAAACTTATTATTAGAGGGTGAGAATACGTTCCAAATTTGCATCGTGTTTTACCGATCGTGCCTGCTTTATTCATCTATCAGTGCTTGGTTTTGCCCTAGTGACGAGGAAAAAACTACTTTCAAAATTCTATCATTCAGAACCATTGAATTTCAAGTAATTTAGTTCTGATAACAATTAAAATTAGAATATTTGGTTTTTCCCTCGTTTTGATCGATTTAGAATGTAAAACTGCATAAGTTCTTCGAGTCTTGATTCAACATTTGCCGTTGTTTTGCATCTCTCCGCACCCCCTATTGATTTCCTATTTGCATTTTGAAAATCTGCTTTCGTCGACTGCTGCCGTCCGCTCCCTCGAAGACTGATATAAAAGACGTCTCTAATGTAACGAATATTTTTCCACATCATTCTGTCCTTAATTGCATTTCTATTGATTTCATCTGATTTTAAAAATAGTTC